GTCAAATGAGCCTAAATTAAACATTTAAAGTATAGTTAAAAACTTCATGAAATTAATCGAAGAATAAAATTAATGATCTCTAATTGTTATGTGCTTATAATCAAAACAAGTGTATCTACATAAAAATCTAATAAACCTGAGATTGTAAATTTTGAGATCATTAAAATCAAGGTTGTGAAAATAAGACGGACACGAATCGGTAGAGAGAGCGGTTCATGCAACCGGTCGAACCGGGGTCGAACCGGATGACGTAATAAATAAAATTTAGATGTATTAAAATATATAATATATAATTTTTTTATTAAAAAATAAATTGAATTCACACATTACTAATATCTTATATAATTTTTAATTTAAAACATATTCAATCTTTAAACTTAATTTAAATTTAACAAAAAATTAATTTACAATGAATTAATAAGTTTATATAAATAATTCTTAATTTATGTTATATATTTATATATAATTTATATTTATATTTATATATTAGATTCATATTATTATTTTACATTTATAAATTATTGAGGTTAGATTAAATTTTATTATAAATAATAGATAAATTAATTAATATTTATAGTACATAAAAAATAAATAAAGAATAAATTTATTTAATATTATTAATTAAAAATAAATATTATTTCATCATAAAAAGCATATTTAAAAAATATATTTTAAAATGAGTAGTATATGTTGTAAACTTAAGAGTTAAGAAGAAAGATATAGGAGCTTTAATTTTTTTAGTCCCACATCATAGGAGAAGTTTAGTTTATCTTGGCAAGCTTTTACTTATATTGACTTTTGAGTTTGAAAGAAGTAGTACATCATGTGAAAAGATGAATTTTAAAAAATGCAAAAGTTGAACCGACCGGTTCAAGAGAACCGTGATTGGTTCGCTGGGTCATCGGTTGAACTGACGATTTTTTACAAAATCGGTCGGTTTGATGCTAAGCCGGTTCTTAGGTTGAACTGAACCGGACTTTAGACCGGTTTATTGTTGAATCGGTCGGACCGGCCGGTCCGGTCTGATTTTTAAAACATTGATTAAGACACTTAAATGAAGAAAGAGTAATCTACGAACAAAAAAATTACTATATGTTGTCCGATAAATTTTTTTTGGATTTAAGCTAAATTTACTAAAATTTCACTTTAAAAAATTATAAATTGGCCTTCGTTCTTCATATAAGTGAGATCTAATCTTAAAATTAGATAGAGAAAGGAGAATTAATGAACTATAGAGCTCTACTTGATGTTTGACAAAGGCAATCATCACGAACACCCACCTTCGTCCAACCACATTCATTGATAGATGTAGTTTGATAGTTGTTACCCATCCATTGTTATCCAACTACCATAATATAATTGACACAATTTGATCATTATTGTTTTACTGCAACACCCAACCGACATCATATGATCGTTGTCATCTCCTTACAATATTTCTCAAACATTCTTAGGAGTTAGCCTCAAGATTATTGTTTTACTGCAACACCCAATCATAAGAGATCGAGCTTCAGGGGAAGAGAAGACCTTTGTAATTTTCATCAACATAGTGAATCATTTCATTTGGGCCATGCCTCAAGATTTTTTCCTTCTAGGATCTTTCTTGTAAAAATTTTGGTATAACATATATTCTTTATTTTTATCTATATGTGTACAATATCTTTAAAAGTTAATCTGAAAAACTCTTTATTGATGCAAATTTTTTAGCTTGCAACAATATGATGATATATAGGAGACACAAATTACTACTGATAAGGATATTAATACACATCAAAAGTAGTTCAAACAATCATTGGAACAATTCAAAAAATGATGCCCATGAAGTAAGAAATTAACCTAATTAAGAATCATATATCCATGAGAAAATTAATATGAAATTCAGGTAAATATAATTGAAATAAAATGAGCAATAAGTAACATGATGAAACATCAACTACAAGAGTTAACTGCCCACACAATCTAAGTTAGTTGACAAATGGTGAGCTATATTTAAGTTTATATAAAACAAGTGGCATAGCTATTACATTTGAGTTTAGCAAAATTTGCCTAAAGCCCAATAGAAATAATCAACACAAATGCATTTCTCTAAAAAGAAAAAACAATTATGAGTACCAACATTTAAACGATTAAAGTTAGGCAACAGTGGAGTTTCTTATCAATTTTGTTGGGTATTGTTCCTAGATTTAGGATTGCTTTTTGTATAGTTTTCTTGTATGGCTTGTAAAGTTAGTAGTGTAGCTAGTTGTGTAGCTTGTTTTTGCCTATAAATAGGCTAGTTTGTAATAGGCAAAGAGTGAGGCCAAAAAATAATGTTTTGCTGTATTTCTCTAGAGAAAATTCAACATCTGGTATCATAGTCACGGTGGTGGCGATCTCGAGGTGGAGGAGAGAAGGTTTCTTATCGAAAGAAACTGAATGAGGCGATCTTGGCAGGGTTCGCCGGATTCGACGAAGGAGAGTTTGGTCGTTGGACACAGGCGACGGCTCCGGACTGTCATGTGGATCGGTGAGTGCGACTGTTGGACGTTCGAAGGTGGTTCTTGATCAGGTCAGGGCGAACGCTGGCCGGAGGCAAAGCGGCCAGGTGCCGCAATCGAGGCTATGCGATGGTCCGAGCTGGGAGATACGTTCAAGACAGACGTTGGTTTCGTGATTTGATCTCCGGAGATAAACTGGGTCAGGCACGGATGGTGACTGTGCTGCTTGGGCTGCTAATCTGCACGCAAGAAATCTCAAGAAGCTGGATGCGAGGGCTTTGCGGTCCTTTAGCCGGCCAAAAAAGCAACGAGGTTAGGACATGTGAAAGGCGATCTTGAAGCAGGAGGTCATTGGAAACATGGAAACTGATTATGCATAAGATGATGTCATGATGACATCGGCAGTTGCCTAACAAGTTGAGAAGGCAACGTAAATTCAAGGATTTCTTGCAGCCAGACTACGTTGATGCAAGCTTGCTGGCACTGGTACTAGGTGGATTCAAGTGGATCTTTGAGGAGGAGTCCAGGAGATCTTTGTGGTGAAGTTAGCATGTTCTTGGGGAGCAATGCCGGGAGTGCAGAGAGCTTGGAGGTGTGAAGTTGTGCGGTGCACGAGGAGGTCGCATAGGAGTGTGGGGCACTGGTGAAAGGCACGTAGGGCGCTGGCCTGATGCAGCAGTGCAAGGCGTGGGATTGTGACGAGTGGAGCGCAGGTGAAGGTGCAGGGCTCGCTGCACGGGTGGATACGTGCAGGATGTGGTTGGAGACATACCACATTAGTGCAAGGCGCGGGTGCGAGCTTGGGGCGTATGACGTGGGCTGGAAGCGTGGGTGATGGCTTGAGGCATAGGACTCGGGCTGGAGGTGTAGGATGCGGAGTGGAAGCGTGGGCGTTGGCTTGAGGCATAGGACTCGGACTGGAGGCGCGGGCACGGGCTAGAGGCTCAGGGCGCGGGCACAAGGCGCAGGGTCCTGGTGGATGCACAGGGCACGAAAGCGGGGCACATAGTGCTCGTGAATCGACTGCGTAGGACACAGTGCGACAAGTGAAGATCTGTCGGGAGGTGGAGTAGGAAACTCAAGAAGATGATGGAGCAATTCTTGATAAATTTATTAATTGTCGATGGACGCTTTTGGCGGGGGAGACCGGCAGGGTTGTTCTTTGGCTGTTCTTTATGAACAATGGGTATCCTTTGTTGTGTAAATCTAAGACCAATGTGGAGATTGTTGGGTATTGTTCCTAGATTTAGGATTGCTTTTTGTATAGGTTTCTTGTATGATTTGTAAAGTCATTAGTGTAGCTAGTTGTGTAGCTTGTTTTTGCCTATAAATAGGCTAGTTTGTAATAGGCAAAGTGTGAGGCCAAGAAATAAAGTTTTGTTGTATTTGGCTCTCCTCCCTCTTCTCTCTCCCTCCTCCTCTCTCAAGATCAAGAGGAAGTGCTTCTTCCTCTCTAGAGCAAATTCAACAAATTCCATTGTTACATTTGATTTAAGAAAGACCCAAATAATTGAATCATACTGTAATTCTTAGTTTATTTGGAAAAGCCCTAATGAAATACAAGCACCAATTTGGATCCAAGTAATTGCAATCACATTCTTGAATTTGCCAAGTTATTCAAACCTTAAAGATAATGTGAGAAATTTTATGAATTTAGTTTCATCCCTAATGTTTTTAATTTGTTATTAGTATTTGACAAAATAAAAAAAATGATTTTTCAGATGACACAAACAAGAACATTGCACAGCCATAAATTTTTAAACAAGCATAAAATGAATAAATATGAAATTAGGATTTGTCACAACCATGAATTTTTGCAGAAAATGAATAAATGATGAAATGCACACTATCATGAGTAAATGACACAAACAAGAACCTTATCAAACAAATTTAAAAGGAAAAATTCAAAAAACATATTCAGATGTTAAATAATGGTTCTCATAAATTTTCTTGATTAATGACTCCCAAATCCTCTCAGATGAAAAGCTTTATGGTCGGCGAAGTGAGAAGGAACGAGCACATCTGAACCATCAAGAAGCTCCAGCCGTCGATGACAAGTACATTGCAAGGATGAGTTTCACAGAGACAAAGGGGAACCGAATGCAACTGCAATAGTCGGGAGGGATAGGGTTGGGAGAAAATGTTAGTATTAGATTGAGGATGGCTTTACCATGTTAGATTTAGATTGAACGGCTGAAATTTGACTTTGATGTGTTCACTCAACTTTCCAAAATCATTGTCGGTTCGCTGGATGAGCTGTTCGGCCGCCAGTTCCTTCCGATCCTGGACAGTTTCAGTCAAAATCAGTTATTATGCAAACAGAAACTGTTCATCAAGCTGCTCCGATCTTGAATTTTTTAACTAAAAAATTACTTTAAAATAGTTTTAAAAAAAAAAAGTCATCCCAAAAAGCCAATCAGATTTGAGATCCAACATACGGCTCCTTAAAAAAGAAATTTAAAAAAAAAATTATATTTGTTCTCCCATCTCACTAAAATACTAGAATTGTTATTTACAAATCAGTTTTCGAGAAAGAGGATTCTCAAATATCTAGTGAGCCGGTAGGCGCCCTTTCGGTTAAGCGCTAAGCTCCTTGATGCGCTCGGTCGTCCTCAAGAATCCGCGCATCTCGGCCCTATCCTCTTACCGGCGCTGCGGCGACTTTTCTTCAGTACGCCGGCCGTTCTCGTCCTCTTCCCCCTCTACGCCCATCGACACACTTAACACCAACCTACGCCCCTTTCCTGAGTACACCCCTAAGAAGCTCAGCATCACCGACGCCAAACTCGTCCACAACCTCACCACCGCTCTGAAGCAGCGACGTCCCCACTCCCTCGATCGCACTCTCATCCCCTTTGCCGACCGCCTCCGATCCGACCACCTCGTTTGGGCTCTCTTCCAACTCCGCTTCCACCCTGCTATCGCCCTCTCCTTCGTCCGCTGGTTCCGCGGCAAAACTCGCTTCGTCGTACCTGCCGAGGCTCAAGCGATCGCCGCACACCTCGCTCTTGTCTCTGGCCGGGTAGGCGCCGCTCGCCAGCTTCTACGGCAGGGAATCGCTTCTTATAGGAATTTCATCGAACAGGTCATCTACACTTACCGCCATTGGTCGTTGGCCCCAGAGGTTTTCGATCTCCTCTTTCGCGCTATGGTGGAGCTCAGAAGGATAGAAGAAGCCCACTCACTCTTTTTCCACCTCACTGCTTTTGGGGTCGTTATCTCAGTGGAGTCCTGCAATGCGTTCCTCTCGCATCTTCCCGTTGATGCTGCTCTGAATGTTTTCGTTGAGTTCCCGCTCTCTGGCGTTAGGTGGAATACCAATTCCTATAATATTTTGATATGTGGGCTATGCAGAGTGGGGAAGCTGGTGGAGGCCTGCGAATTATTGCTTAAAATGAACTCTGAGGGCACTGTTCTGCCAGACGTCATCACCTATAGCACCATTATCGATGGGTATTGCCGTTCCGGGGAACTTCAGAGATCCTATGATTTGTTTCAAGAAATGCGTTCCAGAGGTTTGAAGCCAAATGAGTTCACTTTTAACAGCATAATGGCCCTTCAATGCAAGAAGGGGATGGCTGTGGAGGCAGAAAGGTTACTTCTTGTGATGGAGAATGAAGGTGTGGTTCCTGATTCTGCTGTCTACACTACTTTAATCAGTGGATACTCTAATATTGGTAGCCTATCTGCCGTGCATCGCCTGGTTGATGAGATGAAGGATAAAGGGTTAGTTCCTGATGCTGGGACATACACTACTTTAATTAGTAGCCTCTGTCGATGCGGGAGGATCATTGATGCTGACCTGCTCTTCCAGGAAATGCTCAGAAAAGGATTAAGTGCTGATCAAGTCACTTATACCGTGTTGATTGATGGATATGCTAAGGATGGCAGGATGCAGGAGGCATTTCGACTGCACGAGGAGATGTTGCAGGCTGGCTTGATGCCAAACATTGTGACTTACACTGCTCTTTCTGATGGCCTGTGCAAGCAGGGGGAGTTGGAGGCTGCAAATGAGCTTTTGCATGAGATTTGTCAAAAAGGATTGCAGTTGAATGTATGTACATATAACTCACTAATCAATGGGCTTTGCAAATCAGGGAACATAGAACAGGCTATGAAGACCTTAGAGGAGATGGAAGCAGCAGGACTTAATCCAGATGCTTACACTTACACTACTTTGATGGATGCTTATTGCAAAATTGGTGAGTTAACTAGAGCTCACGGTCTCCTTAGGGAGATGTTGGATAAATGCATCCAACCAAGCATTGTCACTTTCAATGTCTTAATGAATGGATTTTGCGCTGCGGGAAAGTTAGAAGATGGACAAAAGCTTCTTGAATGGATGTTAGGAAAGAAGATAATGCCCAATGCAGCTACCTATAATGCTTTGTTAAAGAATTACAGCATGGAGAAGAACATGAAAGTTGTGACAGAAATATATAGGGGGATGCATTCTAGAGGGATCTTGCCAGATGAGAGGACATACAATATTCTGATCACGGGGCATTGCAAAGCAAGAAACATGAAGGAGGCGTGTTATTTTCACAAGGAAATGATTGGGAAAGGTTTTAGAATGAGTGCTACCTCATACAATGCACTTATTGAAGGGTTATACAGAAAGAAGAGGTTTATGGAGGCAAAACAATTGTTTCAAGAGATGCAAGATGTTGGTCATGTCGCCAATAAGAATATATATAATCTTTTCATAGATTTGAGCTACAATGAAGGGAATATTGAACGGACCCTCGAGCTTTGTGATGAAGCAATAGAGAAATGCCTTATTGGATCTTAAGTTTGCGAAATTTGATGTGTAAAGGAATAGAGAATACTTTGAATGCGTATTACAATGTTTTGGTGTGCTCTGGAACATGAAATGGAGCCGATTGTGCCAACCGGATGAATGAGCTATCAAATTGTTGGAAAGTGCACTGTGCCTGACCACAATTTCCAAGCGGCTGATTTTGTACTCTGGTGAGCGGTAAACGACTTGATTTGTTTTCGACTTTGTCCTGAAGCTTAGAACTTCCATGAGGCAAAAGCGTAGCATTCTATGATATATTTTCAGGTATGCTGCATTTCAAACTGCTTTTCCGTTCCATTTACTAATTTGGCACTACACTAGTTTGAGGTTTGCTCTCATAGCTTGATCAATTTTCTTCCTTTTAATTTGACTTTGGGAATTTAATGCTCATTTATTTTTAAGAACATTAAATTTTATCCTATTTCTATATTGATTTCCCTTAGTTTGGATATTCGAAGAAATTGGTATGGTGATCAATTCCATCTGGGATTGAAGAAAACTGGATTTCTCGTTATGCTTGTTTTTAATTATTTATCCAATGAAATGCTGGAAATAGGATATGCCAGTCTTATATGTAGTTGAACTTCGTTGACAGACTGCACTAGGTATGATATCAGAATGCAGTTCATCCTCTTTTTTATCTTTTAATCTTTTATCGTTATGATTAGGTATGATATCGGAGCTATGTTATTTTAATCAAATATGGAATTATTAAATAAAAAAGGATCTATACTAGCATGTGTAGAAACTAAAGTATCCATAGATAAGCTCAAGAACTCAGATAAAGAATATGATGAACAGTAAAGTAGAATATATTTTGTATATCTTATTATCCTGAGTACAGGCTAGAAACCTATATATAATAACATATTGAAACCTCTTTACATGTGTACAGCTCTAATAGGTTAGCAAGAATTGTTCTAACATTCCCCCTCAAGCTGACAATTGAGTCCAATAGTCAGTTTGGATCATAGAATTTTGAACCGAGGAGTGGCCAGCGGTTTGGTGAGGATGTCCGCAAGTTGTGGATGTGATCACGAACGAAACGTTGATCAATTTCTATATGATTTGTGCGTGCGTGAAAAACAGGATTATTTGCCAACGCAATGGTAGATGTGTTGTCACAGAAGATATCTACCGGTTGAGGATGAGATATGCGAAAATCCGCTAAGAGCTTTTTAAGCCAGATTGTGTCTGTCGTAGCTGATGCCAACGCTCGATACTCCGATTCAGTGGAAGAGCGGGAAACCGTGGTTTGTTTCTTAACAGTCCAGGAGACAAGAGTGTCACCTAAAAATGTGCAAAAACCAGAAGTTGATTTTCTGGTGACTGGATCCGACGCCTAGTCGGCGTCCGAGAACGTGCGAAGCAATAGATTTGATCGTGTAATGGGGAGACCAAACTCTGTTGTTCCTTTAATGTACCGGAGCAGTTTCTTCAGCATGACTGTATGAGGAGGTACTGGATCGTGCATATGCTCCGAGAGAACATTGACAGCGTAGGCAATATCGGGGCGGGTCAGTGTAAGGTATTGAAGAGAACCTATAATTTTCCGGTAAACTGATGTGTTGAAGCATGGAGGAGCATCAGACGACTGTGCTGTCATTTTTGTAACAGAGGGATTAGCTACCGAGTTGCATTTCTGCAGCTCGGCGAGTTGAATAATAGAACTGGCGTAGATACTTTGAGAAAGAAAGTACTTATCTGGTGTGGACTCTATCTTGATGCCAAGGAAATGATTAGCTGGACCGAGGTTTTTCATCGTGAATCTGGATTTCAGTTGATTCACTAAAGCCGTCATTGCGGAATTATAATTGCCAGTTAGGAGAATGTCGTCCACATATACTAGCAAATAGAGTTGCGTATGGTCTCGATGCAGGAGTAGTAAGGACGGGTCCGCCTGGCTGTGTGAAAACCCGAGTTGAAGTAGATATGAAGTAAAGGTTGTATACCATTGACGTGGAGCTTGGCGGAGTCCATAGATGGCTTTGCGTAGGCGACACACGTGATTAGGATTGGTTGAATCTTCGAAACCTTTGGGTTGTTTCATGTATACGATTTCATGAATGTCACCGTGCAGGAACGCATTTGTCACATCCAATTGATGAATTGGCCATTTGTAGAACAATGCGATTGTAAATAGAATGCGAATGGTCGATAGCCTTGCTACCGGACTGAATGTGTCGCGGTAGTCCAGGCCATATTTCTGTTGATTTCCTTGCGCCGCCAGTCTGGCTTTGAGACGAGCTACATAGTCATTCGAGTTATACTTAGTTCGATATGTCCATTTCGAGCCAAGTATAGAGCAATTTGACGGAGGCGACACCAAATCCCACGTGCCCTGGTTTTGTAGAGCAAAAAACTCCTCTGCCATGGCACGTCTCCACTCGAACTTCTTACTGGCTTCAGTGTAGGAAGTGGGATCAGAGTGCAATTGTTCCTGATGTATCAAGTTGAGTCTCTATATTGGTTTGAGGGAGCTGGTTTGTTGTCTTGTGGTCATATGATGTTTCTGCGGAAGAGTAGGAGCTGGTGTCATGGTGATGGTATTGTGATGTTCTGGAGTGACAAGTTCTTGTGCGGGCAGATGGATGGGCGGAGTTGTGATCTGAGCCTCTGTGCTGCGGCTATTCGATTGAACCAGAGACTTGGTGGTCGTTAAGGTTGATGTGGGAATCAATAGTGACGATGGTATAGGACTAGGGAGTGGGAGATCTTGAGATACCCTGTTCTTGTATGGAAATATAGTTTCGTTAAATTGAACATGCCGAGAGAAAATAATTTTGTTTGTTACCAGATTTTGACACTTGTACCCTTTCATACTGTCAGAATAACCAAGAAATATGCACGACGGAGATGTTGGGGCAAGTTTGGTGCGATGAATAGTAGGAAGTAGAGGATAACATTCGCACCCGAATGTGTGAAGGTGAGCGTAGGATGGTGGAGTTCGGAACATTCTTTGAAGAGGAGAAGAATTCTTGGTCGTGATGGAGGGAAGGCGATTAATAAGGTAGGTTGCCGTGGTAGCAGCATCCAACCAGTATGTCATAGGCAGCCCAGCAGTATGAAGAAGCGTTCGTGTGGTGGTGATAATATGTCGATGCTTTCTTTTCGCAATCCCGTTTTGTTCGGGAGTATATGGACAGGAGGTTTGGTGACTGATGCCTGCCGTCCGTGTGAAAGCTTGAAACCGGTGATTCACGAATTCACCACCACCATCGGTCCTTATAACTTTTAGCTTGCGGTTAAATTGTCGTTCAATGAATGTTACAAAATGAATAAAGACATTGGTAACCTCAAATTTAAACGTAAGCGGGAACAACCAAATAAAGCGAGAGTAATCATCTAAAAAGATTACATAATACTGGAATCCCTGATGTGAGGGGACCGGGGACGGTCCCCACACATCCGAGTGAACCAGTTCTAACGGAGCAGTAGTTCTACTAGTAGAAAGTTCGAAGGATAACTTGTGTCCTTTACAAGAAATACACGAGTTACAAACAGAATGTAGGGACGAAATACATAGAGAGGGATTGTTTTTGGAGATTGTCTGAAGGACACGGTTGTGAGGGTGTCCAAGCCGAAGATGCCAGTCAATGACTGGTTTGCGGATAGCCGAAAGACCTTTGTTCTGAGAGCTATGCTGAGTGGCGAGTTTATACAATCCATTTTTACATGGACCTTTAAGAATAATTTGATTGCTCGTTCGATCCTTAAAAACAAATCCATTCGCATCAAAGGTTATAGAGATATGATTATCTTTTACAAGATTAGAAATAGATAGTAAATTGTAAGAAAGAGAGAGAATATGTAAAAGCCGAGAAAGAAGAGCTTACTGCGGGGGTTGGAAGGATTCCCGTTCCCGTGTGGGCAATTGAGACGGACCTTCCGTCCCCGATCGTTACCATGTCATTACCGTTATAGGCGTTGGAGGTGGTGAGATTGTCTATCGTGTTGGTCATATGAGAGGACACTCCGGAGTCGATGTACCAGTCGACAGACGTGTTGTTTTCGTTGCTGGCAAGAAGTGCGTTGGTGTTCTTGGAAGATTGTTGATTCGGTGTGTAGTTGATGTTGAGCCTATGCCAGCACGCGTCGGCTTGATGACCTTTCTTTTTACAGATTTGGCATTGGTGCCAGGGGTTTGGGATGACCTATTTGATGAGTTAGTGTCGGTGTTCGATCTGCTCCAACCACGGCGATCGCGACCCCTGGAGGTGTAAAGTGCAGACTGATTTTTCAGGCATTCTTGGAAATTTGGCTGTCGCGGCTTTGAGATGTATCTCTTCGCTGATGAGAAGAGCGTACAGACTATCAAGAGAGAGGGAATTCTGCATCGTGCGGATGGTTGTCGTGAACGACTGATATTTCGGAGGTAAGCCGTTTAAAATGTAGATCATTACATCTTCAGGATCCACCGAGGAGCCCGCGGATGAAATTTGATCTACAATCTTCTTGATCTCAGTTAGATACTGAGTCATGGTCAGTGTCTGCATTGAAATATTGTGAAGCTTGTTCTTGAGCTGAATAACCTTGGATCGATTAGACGATTGGAAGCGAGTGTGAAGCGTGGACCAGATTTCGTGCGTTGATTCAAGATGAATCACATATGGTAAGACCGACAGTGAAATTGTGGAGCACATTGCAGTGGCGAGATTTTGATCCGTGACGGACCAGCCTTGAAAATCTTGATTAGGATCCGCATTTTCTGAATCCAGTTTGGGATCAAGAAACTCAGCAAACCCATTCGCCTTGAGCAACTTGGCGATTTGAGTGCTCCAAATAGGAAAGTTATCCGGAGTAAGGGAGTGTGGAACCAGAAATTTTAGGTTAGAAATGACAAACTTAAGAGAAGGGGATATTGCCGGAGCTGACGAAGCACCGCCTGTGGTAGCGGCCGTGAAGGAAAGCGGAGGCTTGAGCAGCCATGGCCAGGTCGTCAGAACCTAAGCACTCTTGATACCATGTAGAAACTCAAGTATCCATAGATAAGCTCAAGAACTCAGATAAAGAAGATGATGAACAGTAAAGTAGAATATATTTTGTTATCTTATTATCCTGAGTACAGGCTAGAAACCTATATATAATAACATATTGAAACCTCTTTACATGCGTACAGCTCTAATAGGTTAGCAAGAATAATTATTTATTTGATATATATGCTGAGCTGTTCTAACAGCATGTATTTACATTTAGACATTTAGTTTGTTATTTTTTAATTTGACATGGCTAATTTGCTAGGATTAGGATGATTCTACTGTGTTATTAATTAGCATTGCTTGTAATTTGTGCCATAATACTTTTTTTCTGTTTCTTTTTTCTCATGTTTTAGATTGTAATTTGATGTTAGGAAGTGGCGTCATCAAGAAATAAGCAACCACCAGTACTATTGGGAGGAAATCCGAGGATTATGTGAAAGAATTGACAAAAACTGGTGGAGTGTGATCATGTCCAGGTTCTAGCATCAAAGTTGCAGATGTAAATGAGGTAAGAACAGTGGAATGAGATTAGCTAATATCATTGAGAGCTGGTTAGAATGGTGAAGCAGTCTGTCTTTTTGCATGGCCAAACTTTTGAACTCTGAATTCACTCCAGCCTATGTTACACTGGATAAGTAGATATCTTGTATGCATTTCTTATGTGAAAATGAATTATTAATAACTCGGCTAAGAAGTGAGAACAACTTTTGGTGGCTTATTAATCTACTAATGATCACATGACTAGTGATTTGTTGAATATTGGTCACGTATATGTATGTAAAGGCCGCCTTTTCTCATTTGCCATCTCCTACTCCCCCCTGCTCTAAAGCCAAGATGAAGCTCCATTTTTATCTTATGTAAAACCTTAGAACATGCCTTATCTTCATTCTGCATTATTGATCTTGCTGAATAAACTCGACTTCTGGTCCTCGGAAGTCAAATTGCTCTTAAATAACCAAATTTGTCTTCTGTTTTTTACAAATCAGTACTTAGTCAGTCCCTGTAGTTATCTGCTTTTACTGCTGGACATCTGTCTGTTCCTTTTAAATGATACTGTACGTTACCTTTGATCATTAGCTATGAAACTATTTTTCAGTGGAATCCTTGCATAGTTTTAACGTAAAGATTAATACTTATCTAAATGTTGGTGTACCTTAAGGAGTTAAGGACAATATGGATTTAGTAATCAAGCAGAACATAATACCTGTGGAACAAACATAGAAATGTAAAACCGGCCAAGTTGCTCTTCCCACCAAATACGAGTGAAACGCCAAAACGAAAAACACGAATAGTAGCGTCCATTCCTCAGCAATACAGGAACGTGCGAGGTGATGGAGAAGGTTCCCAGCGAAACTAAAAGAATACTCATAACAGAAAAACATATATAAAAGTAAAATAATAACTAAATAAAGAAAATATATCTCAGCAGGCCAAAAGTAGCAATATAGAGTTGCGAGCCATGTGCTCCGTTAAGGCTTTCCTTGATGTAGGAATCTGCAAGATGAACAAAGCAAATAGAAGATTTGATAGAACAGTAACTCTCAGGTTACTGTGACTAGTATTTACTAGAAAATTAGTGAAAAACAAAGCTGCTTCCTCCTCCTGTACTTCCTGCCTAAGTAGTTTCTTCCTTCACCGCCTAATGCCGAAGTAGAAACAAAACAGCAAAAATATAATAATTACTAAAACACTAATAATAGCAGTAGTGGTGGAGTATTCCTAACAAACTACTCAGAGAACGTGTGTATAGAATGTTCCGTAGGTCAGCTAGCTTAATATGCTCCATATCATTCATCCCCTGCACAAGAAAGACTGTTATCTCCTGAATCAACACTAACCCCGCCGTCATCAGGTGGCTCATACGGATACGTGTTAGCAACATTGAAGGTATGCGAATTAGTGAACTTGCTCGGTAAATCAATAACATAAGCATTGTTATTGATTCGGTGTAGCACAGTGAATGGCTCAAATTTTTGACGACTAAGTTTAGAATAAGCTCCTGGGGGTAGACATTCTTTGCACAGCCACACTAAAACCAGATCGCCTGTGTTGTAAACTTTCTCCCTTCGATGCGCATCAACTTGTTGTTTGTAGTTTTCATTAGTTTGTTGAAACTTCAAACGAACATTAGATAACATATTTATAAATTGCTCGGCCAAGATGAATGTCACCTTGTTGGTACATTTTGGAAGCACTGCAATATCAACAATAGTATTGGGTAACTTAGTATAGACAATACTAAATGGGCACCTACCCATCGATCTGATGGGCATTGAATTGAAGGCAAACTCAGCTTATCCCAGCACATCATCCAACGGAGTACGTTTCCCAGTGTCCAATTCACAACTTCTGTTTGGCCGTTAGTTTGTGGATGATAAGATGAACTGAGTTGAAGCTGTGGGTTCATTCTTTTCCATAGTTGCCGCCAAAAATGACTTATAAATTTAACGTCACGATCAGAGGTTAACAATCGGGGCACGCCATGTAATCTTATGATCTCCCTGAAGAATAGTTTAGCGACGTTCAAGGCGTCAAAGGTCTTCTTACAGTCTATCAAATGTGCATTTTAGAAAAAACGATCTACTACAACCATAATCGAGTCGTTTTCACGATGTGTGCGGGGCAGTCCCAACACAAAGTCTAAACTTAGATCCTCCCATATAGAATCTGGCACAGGTAATGGTAAAAAAGCCTGGTATTTTGTCTACTTCCTTATAGCTTTGGCATACAGAACACCGTTCCACAAAGCGTGCTACATCCTTTCGTAAGTGCGGCCAAAAAAATATATCCTGGAGTTGCGAAATGGTGTTATCTAGGCCAATATGAGATGCTAATCCGCCTTCGTGCACTTCTTTTATAATGAGTTGCCGCCATGATGATTTAGGAATGCAAAGCAGGCTGTCCTTAAACATAAACCAGTGTCTGATGGAGTAATCCTCTGAATGCTCCTTGCTGATGCACTTGTGTCATACTTCACTGGAATCCTTATCATCTAGATACAATTCCTTGAAGCAATCCAACCCCATGAACTCGGTTTGCAGCTGTGTGAGCAAAGCTGCTCAGCGGCTTAAAGCATCCTCCACTCTATTTTGCGCCCTGCTTTTATGCTTTAGAACAAAAGTAAATTTTTGTAAGAACATGATCCATCGTGTGTGCATGCGGTTGATATTTTTTTGAGTGTTGATATTTTGTAGTGTCGCATAGTCGCTACACAGGACAAAATCTTGCTGCAGTAGATTATGTTCCCACTGTTTTAATGCTCTAACGACTTCATATAACTCCTGTTCATACACTGTCCATTTATGCCCTATTGTACTTCTCGCTAAAAAACTCAATTGGCTTGTTTTCTTGAGATAACACAGCCCCAATCCCTACTGATGAAGCATCAGTTTCCACAGGAAAAGGTTTGTTGAAGTTCGTCAATGCTAAAACTAGCATTGTTATTAATGCATTTTTTATGCTCTCAAAGCTCTTTTGTTGATTAGTTTTCCAACTGAATTTTTTTTTGCTTCAAAACATCAGTTATGGGTGCCATCAAGATGCTAAAGTGATGTAGATAGGGGGGGGTCAAATCAAGCCCAAAAAAATTGGTTTTGACTTCCCTTGAGCTTGCTAGCTCATTAATTTTTGAGCTAAGATTTAGCTCATTTTGAGCTGGTTTTTAGTTCATTTATTGAACTAAGAGTTAGCTCATTATGAGCTATGTTTTTAGTTCACTTTTTAATTTATTAGTAGCTCATTAATTTTGTCTCTTCTCATTCCCCTTGTCTATTCGTTTCCCGTGGATGGCTCTTGGGTTCCTGTGCCTTGGCTCCTTGGTTCCCATGGCTGCCTCCTTGGTTTTGGCGGTTGCCTTTTCGGGTTCCGCCTGGGCTGCTTTTTCGTGGCTTTGGTGCTTTGTTTCTTGTGTAGAATTAGGGAATATTATTAGGTGACTGTTGGCTTTTTATTTCCCTCATTTATTTAAGAATTTGAAGAGTTTTTGGGGTTGTTTGTATTCCCCTCTTATGTCTATAAATAGTAGATGTTTTGTGGCTGTTTTAGAATGTTATGTGAGTGATTTTTGGAAGCCAAAACCTGCGGGTTTCTTCGTGGAAAAGCTTGCGAGCTTGTTCCATTCTCCTTCTCCTCTAGGAAAGCTTGTGAGCTTCTCCTCCTCCTTCATTTTGGCTTCTAACCTCTTTCGTCTATCCGCAAATTTACACCCCACTTGTATCCTTCTTCTTTTGGAAAGCAAGTTTAGGTTGTCTTGTTTGAGTCATTTGTAAGAGTCTTTATTTGTAAGTCGTTTTAATTTTAAGAGTTGTAAGTCTTTCATTTTATATAAGTAAAGTTTGTTTTCATCCTATTTTGTGTCCTTTTGTGTCTTTTCTATTACTTAGAAAAGTTCTTTCTTTTGTATCAAAAATTTGGGTCCCTTTTCAAATTTTTTATTGCATCATAAAGCCCTTGATAAATCTTCTATAAAAATTTGCTAACCCATGAAAACTATAAATATCCGTAAATGATTGTGGTGTTGGCCACCCTTGAATAGCTGCAATACGGATTCCATGTGCCAAAATCTTCAAACCCAAGAATTAAACTATCGGCGTGGCAAATTCATATTTTAATATAATAAGATAAAATTGGTTACTCCTTAAGGTTTCAAAAATACCTTTTAGATGCTCCAAGTGATTTATCAAGAGATGAGCTATAAACCAATATATCATCGAAATAAGTGACACAACATCTATTGAGAAAGGGCTTTAAAACTTCATTCATTATGCATATATAAGTTGATAGGGTGTTACACAAGACAAAAGGCATTTCCTTCCACTCATAAAGCCTTTTCTTGTTTTGAAAGCAGTCTTACATTCGCTATGTTACACGGATACTCCTATTTACGAGGCATGATGTATCAGACACGTGTCGGATACGAATACACCTCCGATACGGCAGGGATACGTGTCGGATACGGCTCTGTCGTGTCCAATTAAAATATTATTTAAATTTGACCTGAAACACGTATCGGATACGCATGTCCTATTAAAAAACGAAAAAAAAAAAAAGAAATAGAGCCGCAATGTGCCCTATTCATTTCGGCTATACGCTCGATATCCCTATTCATTTATGCGGCTTAAACATTTCGGTGAGCTAGGTTTTTCATTTTTGCGCAATGTGTTCGTTTTCTTTGTTATAGTCGAAGGGGCGGCTCGACGGCGCGAGCATAGAAGTGGATAAAATCATCCTTCATCGATGAAGAGGCTTGACAACGCGAGCATTAAAGCCAACAGGATCATCCTTCATCGACGGAGCAACTCGACGACGCGAATAGTGAAGGCGACGTGAGCAGTGAAGGTTCGTTTTCTTCGTTTTCTTCGTTTTCTTCATCGTAGGCTCGATACCGGAACTCGGTACCGCTTAGTACTGGAACTCGGTACTGCTTGGTACTAGAACTCGGTATCGCTCGGTACTGCTCGGTATCAGAACTCGATACTTCTTGGTACTGCTTGGTACTGGAACTCAGTAACGCTCAGTATTGGAACTCGGTACTGCCCGGTATCCCTAGGTACCGGAACTCGGTATCGCTCGACACCGTTCAGTACCGGAACTCGGTATTGCTCGGTACTGCTCAGTCCCGAAACTCGGTACCGCTCGATACCTCTCCTCGACGCTGGATGCCATGCTCAGTATAAATGCTCGATACCATTCGGTATAGAGGGGTACTGAATGGTACCAAGTGGCACCGAGAAGCTAGAGAAAACTTTAAAATGCCTCTTACAATAAAAATTTGTTCTAAGGGCACTGCCCCCAAAAA